GGTGTTGTGGAATCTGACACTTTCTGCCAAAGAAATTGACCATGCCACAAGTATTATGCCTTCAGTGTTTCATCCTGCTCTGCTCATTATAGGTGATTTATGTGGCATGAAGCAATGGAAAAGGACAGCAACTCAATAGTAGGGTTCATTATTTGCATGCAGATCCAGGAGAGCCACTGCCAGTCTAGAGATGGACAACACTGAGCTTCATAGGCCAATTGTCTGATTCTAATTCCTAAGGGGAAGGGATACCCTTGATTGCCTGACAGATAAAGCAGCTTCAGCTCTGCTTCTTAAACCCTTTGCTGGGCCTGTTCACACAAACCGTTCACTATGATCACTGTTGCACATGCACAGAATTGGCCATGTAGCTAGTTCAGCTAGTTCAGTTCACATCTGGCTAAAACATGGTTGATCTATCTGAATTCAGTCCAGTTTGTGTATGCTGATCTGATTGTATGAGACTTGAGCACAGGCTGAAATAGCAACATGGACTATATAGCACTGCAGATTACAGACCAGAGTCTCTCTTGGCTTCACACCTTTGCTCTTTCGAACCCATCCTGTAAAAGTACACATCACTGATGTAGCTGGGAAAGACTCATGCTTTAAGCACCATACACAGAAGACTGATAAGGAGATTGCTCCAAAAACTAACATATCCAGACCCTGCGAGCATCATCTGAGGCTCTTCTCTGAGTGTCCCCTAAAGACAGGTTCAGAAGGTGGCAATTAGGGAGAGGGCACTCCTATCTATGTAATGCTCTCCCCATTGAAACCCTCCTGGTACTAACTCATGTCTTTGGTGCCAGGTTAAAACAATCGCCTACATCCCAGAATATGAGAAATATGTGATGGAATATAATTAGGCTTATATGTTTGGGGTTGCTTTTTAGTTGTAAATAATGTTAATATTGTTTTCTTTTTAGGGATTGGTTTGGGGGTTGTGTGTGTTATGCTTCTGAATTATTTCAGTTTATTGTTTTATTATTGTTGGGACCGATTGGTTTCAGGTGAAAAACAAGTTAAATAAGTGTGGGTTTTTTAAAAAAAGTCACAACACAACAAGCTGCATTTTAAAAAGGTCAGTCCAAGTCATCAGACTCTGAAGCACGTGAATTGGCCCGTGTAACTACATATTAGCAGCTATTACATGTTCTTCTTCCTCCCACACTTGCTGCCTTCCACAATGAACTTGGCAAACTGCAAACCAATTTGAGTTCTTGTTTACTTCTATGAAAACCTGTAGATTTAAACCTGCCAAGTTGTCTGAACAATCAGGCAAGGAAAAATGATTTTTTTTTTGTGTGTGTATATATATATATATATATATGCAGGTTTTGGTGTCCTCGGGTGTCTTCCCGTGTAAAAGTTGGGGTGTCTAGGCGACGTTTCGACGAGGTCTCACTCGTCATCTTCAGGCTGGTGCTTTCGGCTTCTTGTTACTGGAACAGAGCTCTGTTCCAGTAACAAGAAGCCGAAAGCACCAGCCTGAAGATGACGAGTGAGACCTCGTCGAAACGTCGCCTAGACACCCCAACTTTTACACGGGAAGACACCCGAGGACACCAAAACCTGCATTCCTGTACCCGTGAAAATCTACGAAAGCATATATATATATATATATATATATATATATATATATATATATATATATATATAAAAAAAATATAAATAAAACTTTCTGGTGCAACGTAAGTCAACAAAACATGATTAAGTTAACCATGACACTTGATTAGGGATCTTTTACCATAGGAGCAGAATCAGCTTTCTAACCATGCCGCCATGAGGTGGCTGCCCTGAGGCAACCATACAGGTAGCAATTGTTTTGAGTCTGGCTCAGTTCTACCGAGTAACTCGTTCTGCCATGATATAGCCGCCCCAGATAGAAATGGGGTGCAGTAGGTGATGATGTCATCAGTTTGGGTACTAACAATGCAGCTGGGCTGGTCACATCAGCACTTCTGGCTCAGATGTCCCGTGGAATGAGAAGAGTGGACTGCAAGCTTGTGGAGTAAGCGCAATTATTTATTCAGTTTACTTCCCTCTCTTCCGCCTGAAGGAGCTCAAGGTGACAAATATTATTCTTATGTTACTTGTGCTATTTGTAAGCCCATTGTTGCAATTTATTCCACTTTTCAGTGTGCAGGAAACTCAGCCTACTAATAATGGGAGGGAGGATTCAGTAAAGTGATCCCTGTTGCCAGCTGTCTGCTCTTAAGACTTCATAGCAGAGGGAAGCAGGATGTTTTCCTGCATGTAGATTAGCACATCAAAATGTTTCGGTATTGTTAGGATGGTGAGACTATAATTAGGTTCGTTTCTACTTTTCCTATCCGACTCTCCCATACAAAATTCCTCAATAAACAGATTTTTCTGGTGGGAAGTTGGCTGGGCTATGATTGGTGCTTTTATATTCACCAACTTCAGCAATATGCAATTTAAAAAACCAGAATAATGCACGCCCTAGCCTTGATCAAATTGTTGTAGTTGTAACATACTAATCTTCAAATCTTCTTCCCCATGAATGGCGACTCTCGCTTCTACTCCTAGGCTAACCTTACCTTCATATATTCTTTAATCCATATTGCTGTACACACTTGGTTCATTAATACATCACTCCTGAGTCGAGGTTATAAAAGCTGGTGAATTATGCAAATCAGCATGCCTGCTGAGAAGGAAATGGTGGAAATGACAAATGAGTTCTTTTGAATTGCACAAAGCCCAAAAATCTGTTTTCAGCGTCAGAGCTGAGCTTTGAAATAACATGAAATAAGCATGTGAGAGTCTTGTTCTCACATTACTGAGTAACCAAAACCAGCATCTATACCTTAGTGATTTAAGAGTTGTAAGGGTAAGGATTCGACTCCAGCTCTTCCCATTTTGCATATTAATGTTTTAATTATGAAAAGGGGCTTTTTCAAGCCTGGGAGTGTGATTTTGCTGTACAGCAATGTCCAATTCCTGGTTGTCAAGTCCCATCTCTGAGCATGTGAGGCTATTTCTGACAGCTCACTCAATATGATAATTCTTAGCTTGTATGTCCAGGGCTGTACCTATGGGATGGTGAAACTGGCCCCTGCAAAAATCTCCCCAGATTGCTCTGACCAAGAGAGTTAGTTGTGTGGGTCAAAAGTCACGAGAGGCAGATTGCCTGGATGACAGAATCACCTCAGAAAAAATTGAGATACTGGAGTAGAGGGGGTGATTTTAGACAAATAATGCGGCTGTTGGGGTAAAGTGGGTTTTTCAGGGGGAGGGCATCAATACAGCTCCTTGCCAAGGGCGCAAGAGACCCTTTTTTATGTTTCACCCCTTCTGTGCACTGGGCACTTCAATTTGTGAGTAGATTTGCATAGATCTTTTCTGCAATAAGGAACACTCTACACACTTAAGTGAAGCCAAATATCCTTAGTAAATTCAAAACTCTTGAGACATCTAGCAATAGCTTTACACCAAACTGCAGTTAGAGGAAAAGATGGAGAAAGGAAAATAATGCTATGATTTCTATGCATTACCAGTAACATGAAGATCAGAGCGCACATCATAGCAGGAAAGAGGCTAAGAGAAAGGACGTTTTGTCACACCTGTTCCACTAAAAGGAAATATTGCAATGCAGAGAGATGATGGCTGGGCTTTTCCATGCTGACTCAGGAAGCAGAATGCTTACCTGATCCCAAGATGATGGCATGGCAGTAAGCTTATCTAGTCCCAAGATGACTGCAAAACCAGTCAATGAATTGGCCTGTCTAATAAAGTTTGAGTTTGAACCCTGGTGTTCCTTTGCAGGGAGGGGGTGGACTGGGGATTTGTGCATGATGACCTGTTGGCTTCAGATTGGCCATGTGGTTCTGATCCTAAGCCACACCTGATTCATTGGACAGGCTGGCTCAGACAATATGCCCTATTAATTCATTAGCTTGTCTCTAGTTCAGAGGCTGGCTAGCTAGTCAGTAGTTCAACTAGGGAAGGATCCTGGCATGCAGTTTCTTAGGTATTATTCTAATCCTCTGTAGTGCAGTGTTAGAGTGGGAAATGAAGCCAGGGGGGATGACACAGAGCAAACAAAACAAAACAAAACCAAAAAGTGGAAGCAGCCCAGTTGGTGTTTTGGGCTTCTCCATTGTGGAAAAATACCTGGCAGCATAGATGCCTGTGTAATCCAAACAGCTTCTGTTCCCAAGTAAGGTGACTTTAGGTAAGTTTACACATCAGCTAGTACAGCCAGCTCTCCGCTTCCTGGTGTTCAGCCTTTCCCTTTCCTTGGGTTTAGCTCTTGAATTTATCTTCCTTAAAGCTTAGATACATAAGACACTTACCCCAAGATACCTTGATATTCAGGGTAAGCAATCCCATTTGGAATCCATGTCAAGCCCAGATTCCCAGGTTTAAAATACAATAAAAAATATTGTGAGGCTAGTTGAATTAATTATATTTATGTTCTGCATTTTCTGAAGGAGCTCCAGGTGACTGGCATGGTTGCCTCTTCCCTGTAAAATCCGTGAGGCCTTGTTAGGCCTCCTCGTATGGTGGTTTGGCCCAAACCATGGTCACCTGTCCATTACCTGATGTCATATGATAGCAGGTGCAGCCCCAGTGCCCAATTCAGAAGGAAAAATGAAGAGCGCAATCTTAAGTTTGCAGCTGCAGGTTTAAATTTTAATCATTTCACATCATATGGTTCCAGGTAATTGCTGAATAGCATTCTTGTACACCTGTCAAAGTGGCCTATGGAGGGTGGGCCAGTTCTGGATCCAACCTGAGGGGGCCAGTCCCGCCTTTGGAAAATGATTTCCAAAGCCACCCAGTGATTTCTGAGGAGCATGGATTCAAAACCTCCTTGCTTACCTTGGCGCATCATGTCGCCTTGGTAAGCGGATTTGAACCTGGCTGTCCCTAGCCATAATCTGAGCCTAACTGCTACACTACCCTGGTCCTGTGTGTCAGATACTGAAATTCAGGGGGAAGATCTTACTCTGTCTTTCCCCTCTCCTTGCCAGGGTGCACATTTGTAAGCAAAGCAGGAGGGGCCCCAGAAGAGACATTGGCTTCTTACACCCACCATGATCCTGGGCAGAACCATTTCAGTCCGCATCATCTTCTTCCTTGGGGTCATCCAGTGCCTGAGAGGGTATAGCTGGGAGCAGACAACGGCCAGCTCTGTTTTCCAGCAGGAGCCATTTGTGGTGGTGTGGAACTTGCCCACAGCTAAGTGTCGAGAGCATTTTGGGATCACCCTGCCTCTGGAAGCCTATGGCATTGTGGAGAACAAGGACAATGCTTTTCGTGGCCAGAACATAACCATTTTTTACAAGAACAAGTTTGGGCTCTATCCCTACATCTCCCCAGATGGCAAATGGCACAATGGGGGGATACCTCAGAACGTCGATCTGAAGAAGCACCTGGAGACGGTCTCAAGAGATGTTTTGGAAAGCCTGAAGCCTGATTTCCAGGGTCTGGCCGTGGTGGACTGGGAGGAGTGGCGGCCTCTCTGGAGGCGGAACTGGGGCCCCAAGAACGTGTATAGGGTGGCCTCTAAAAAATGGGCACGGAACAGAAGGCCTGATGAACCCCTCACGGAGCAATCCTATGTTGCGGAGATAGAGTTTGAACAGGCAGCTCGGGCCTTCATGGAAAGAACTCTAGAAATGGGGAAGTCTCTGAGGCCACAGGGATTCTGGGGCTTCTATGGGTTCCCTGACTGTTTCAATTACAACTGGGAGAACGAAGAGAACTACACCGGCCATTGCAACCCCACAGAGGTCCAGTGGAATGATCATCTCATGTGGCTCTGGAAGGTTTCATCTGCCCTCTATCCTAGTATCTACCTCTCACCAAAACTCCCAACATCTTACCACCAGAGTTATGTTCACCACCGCCTCAAAGAAGCATTTCGTGTGGCACAGTTTGGCGTGAAGCAGCCTCTCCCTGTAATCGCGTATTCCAGAGTCTCCTACAGACATTCTCCACGGTACCTGACTGAGGTAAGAAGTGAGAGGTGCCAGCTGCGTACAATAGGCCCAGGCACTTTTCATCAATGGTAAGCAAGTGAATAAAGGTTAAGGCTGCAATCCTAAACCCACTTAACCTGGGAGCAAGCCCCGCTGAATTTAGTAGGACTTACCTCTGAGTAAGCACAGCTAGGACTGAGGTGCAGATCTCTTACCTAGCTGGAAACTTCCTTCTGTGGGGAATATTAGCTGCCACCATACAGTGAAGGGAATAAGTATTTGATCCCCTGTTGTTATTCTGTCTCTCACAGCTACAATAAACCTACGATTAAAATTATATATATAAAAGTGCAGTCACCATAGCTAATTAATTGAGGCACTTCATTAATGCTGCAGCCAGCTATGCGTGAACAGGAAGCAACTAATTAACTGCTTTAATAGAAAGGTGTTGTCAAGGATGGGGAATCCTTTTGGCCCGGCTAGGCACACCCTCATCTTTCCCCAGTTCTGTGCGCCAACTTGGATAGGTGGGTGGAGCAACCCATTTGCCAATCATCTCATAACTATGTTCCTCATGGGGAACTTGGTAACAGACAGTCTGGTAGGCCTGAGCTCACTGCCCATCACTGATGGGTGATGACTTCAACCTTGCTTTCCGCAGGAATTGGCTGTATGATCACAAACCCTGTAAGGCACTCAGTCGCACAGGTGATCCAGCCCCATGTCAGATATGGGGGAATTAGCCTTGCAGGCCAAATGGGGGTCCATCCATCCTGGACCAAATTTGGCCAATGGGCTAGAAGCTGCTGATTAACTGGAATTTCTGGATTTAGGGAGGAGAAAGTGTGGGTGAGCAATAGCTAGAGGGAAATGCTGCATAAACATAGAATAAAATGATGCACAAAAAGGGCTTCACAATCCACATTCCTGTGGTGTCTGGTTAAACAGATTGGTCAGACTTTTGAAGCATTACAGAAACTACAACTCATGTTTGACCTGAGAAGTTAATTGGGCCAGAAAAAATCAGTGAAAATCTATCCATTGTAACTAGCCAGAAAACCTGCCTAATGCAATGTGTTAATATCACCGAAGTGATACGTTGCAGTTCTCATGTAGAAAGCTGCCCAGTGCTAACAATTCTCTCCTTTTCTCCATTCAGGCTGACCTGGTGTATACAATTGGAGAGAGTGCAGCACTTGGGGCTGCTGGGGTTGTGCTCTGGGGTGATCTCTCCTATTCCCAGTCACCGGTGAGTATCTCTGCAACAATGTCCTATCCATCTATTAATTCATGAACCGCCTTTATATGCTTCCCAATTACAACATTTCCTGAGAATACCTATAATGTATTCAAATACAACCATCAACCGTGAAACAATCATGCAGCAGATTTAAATAATTATATTAAAACTTTATATTTAAAGGAAATAAAAAGCTATTTACAAGGCACCAAGGAATAAAAAGCTATTTACCAGGCACCAAAACAGGTGCCAGCCTCCATGGGGAAAGCATTCAATCGGTGGGATGCCATGGCCAAGAAGGCCCTCTTCCTAGGATATACAGTGGTACCTCGGGTTACATACGCTTCAGGTTACAGACCCAGAAATAGTACCTCGGGTTAAGAACTTTGCTTCAGGATGAGAACAGAAATCATGCTCCGGTGGCGTGGTGGCAGCAGGAGGCCCCATTAGCTAAAGTGGTGCTTCAGGTTAAGAACAGTTTCAGGTTAAGAACGGACCTCCAGAACAAATTAAGTACTTAACCTGAGGTACCACTGTACTTCCTAAGTTGAGAATCAGCCTGAGAGAGAAAATGGATACCCTCTTTGCCCACCTCATTGGTAGCCCAGCAGCTATTCCCCTACTTTCCAGCTTTGGTGGGGATAGGATAACTTGTTTCTCCCACTCTTCTCCCAGTTTTCTTGATACCTTGACTAATGACCATGCTCACCTGCCCATGTGGTTGGTTCTGCCTAAACGGGAATGTCTGGAAGCTCCCATCCTCAGTGCCGATGGGTCCAGTCCCTAGAATGTTCTGAGCTGTAATCCTAGCTTTCCATCTTCTAGGAGAGCTGCAGGAGCCTCAAGCATTACATCACCACGACGCTGGGCCCATACATCGTCAACGTAACCACGGCAGCACGCATGTGCAGCCGTGAGCTGTGCCACGGGCATGGACGTTGCGTGAGACAGGACCCCAGTGAACTGGAAGCCTTCCTCCACCTGGACCCACAGCAGTGGGAAGAGGAGTCCTCAATGACAGATTTTCCAGATCAAGACATGTTCGCATGGGAACAATTTCAGTGTCACTGCTATCCTCAGTGGACTGGAGCCTCGTGTGAGACACCGCTGTGGCTGGAGCCTGTCCTAGGACCGGATTGTAGTCGAGCTCAACAGTATTACAATATATTTCATGCAGGGTATGTCAGCAATGTTGTTGTGAAATCAAACATCTGTCCTCCTTCCCTTTACAATGAAAAGACAGAATTCCAATAACACATCTTTGCAGATCCAGCACTTTACTCCAAGGGCAGTTTTGATGATATCTGTTCTAGACATTTCTCAACTGGGTGACTCCTCCGTTTTCCAAACAGAGCGGGGTCTGGGTGTAGACAAATAGCAGACTCACACTTTTTCCTTCTTTGATGGTGCGCTATAATTTAAAAATGATCTCAGGTGTAAGCCTAAAGTAAGGGCTTAGGCATTGTTGGGTTTTGAAACTGTAGCCAAGCACACCTAGTAAAATAAAGACATACTTGGAAACCCTAAAGAGCTGTAGCATGAGAGCACCTTATACCTTCAGAGTTCGTATATGATCTGGCAGGTGGAATGCTGGGAAATGGAAGCATTCACTACCACCATGAAAGTGATCCTTGCACACCCTTCCTACACTTGTTAGCACTACAACTTAAAGGAGACAGATGTCTGGAACTTGGTGTCGTAACTACCTTTTCATAACCACTCTCGTCTCTCCCCCCCCCCAACTTCAGTAAAAGCTATGAGAAAGCAAGTGAGTTGGAAGGCTTCTCTCATTCACTTTTCTCCCTCAGTCTGTTTTTTTAGCACACTTAGGTGAACAACTATTATGCAAGATTTGGGTTCATTTCCTCTCACCTGTGCTACTGCTACAAGGATATTGCGCTTTCCCAGATTGCAATACTTGGGTGAGCTAACTGCCTTTTATCAGACGCAGGGCAGTGCCATTACCGTGATGGTGAATGCAGGGCAATGGGGAGATGTGTGAGTATTATGGGTACCTATTGGATAGTGTCCACGAAGCTCTTGGTCAAGAACTACCTTCCCCAATCTGGTGCCTCCCAAATATTTTGGACTACAACTCCCATCAGGGACGCGGGTGGCGCTGTGGGTAAAACCTCAGCGCCTAGGACTTGCCGATCACATGGTCGGCGGTTCGAATCCCCGTGGCAGGGTGCGCTCCCATCGTTCGGTCCCAGCGCCTGCCAACTTAGCAGTTCAAAAGCACCCCCGGGTGCAAGTAGATAAATAGGGACTGCTTACCAGCGGGAAGGTAAATGGCGTTCCGTGTGCTGCGCTGGCTCACCAGATGCAGCTTGTCACGCTGGCCACGTGACCCGGAAGTGTCTGCGGACAGCGCTGGCTCCCGGCCTATAGAGTGAGATGAGCGCACAACCCTAGAGTCTGGCAAGACTGGCCCGTACGGGCAGGGGTACCTTTACCTTTACAACTCCCATCAGCTCCAGGCAGCATCACCAGTGGTCAAGGATGAGAACTATAGCCAAAATATTTGGAAGGCACTAGATAGGGGAAGGCTTGTCAGCAGGTGTGACACAACTCTGACCCTCTTGCATCCTTTTTTTGCCGGGGGGTGGTGGGTGGTATTAAGTCCAACTGAACTAAAATTATTTAGATGCTGAGCCCTATTTATTGCCCCTCAATTTGGCTGTTAGCCTTTAAAAAGTGTTGTGAGCACCAACAAGTCTTCCCTCTTCCCCATCAGGACTTTGCCACAGATGGAGAAAAGACTACTGTAAACAAAAGGACAGTTGGCCTGCAGTGTGATACAATAGCAGCTCCTCCATGAAATGAGTAGCCCTGGAAGCATGTGCAAAGACAACCAAGACTCATTCTCCAGTGTCTCCTGTTTAAGGTGCTATCAGGGCTGGAAATGACATCTGCCAGAGACCATGGGGACCTACTGCCAATTAAAGTGTGGGGCAAGATGGACCAATATAAGGCAGCTACATATGTTTATATGCTGAAGTGTGTGTCTGCCGGTATGTTAGTCTACCCTATGTGAGACCAAAACATCCTGCACCAGATTCACCTAATGAGACCTGCTAGCAGAAGCCCCTCACAAGGGTTTCTGCTAGTGCTTTGGGGCTTTCCCCTCTCTTCCCCCATGTGCCACCCCCTCCCCCAATTGGCTTGGGGGGTGATGAGAACCCAGAACCATGCAGGGAGTGGGGGAGGAGAGGGAAATTGCTGTGTTGGCCAAGCTGCAATGCTTGCACTGGTAGAATGGTACTATGTTGAATTCTTCCCTCTGACTTTGTGAATTCTCCCAGAATTTCCTGGGAGGCTCTGGTCCAGTTGCCTAGCTTTTGAATGCATCTGTGCTGGGGTTTTGGCTCCTTAAATAAACCACATGTTTCTTTTTTTCTGTCTCAGCAATTCCAAGTATTGGTGTCACTAAATCTTAAGATCATAAAAAAATGAAGGTTAGAAGACTCAGTGGAGTCCAGCATCCTTTGCCAAACACGCTTCCAATAATCCCACAAACAGAGCAAGACATCAACCCACCAACCCAGTTGTTTGTACTTTTGCTATCATGAGATAGGTTTCAATGCTGAGTTCAATTCAGCTATTATGGCTAATTCCACGAATTAAAAAGAACCCAGTAAGATCACATCCCAGGCTGGCATTGCATCAAGAGAGAAGGGTTTCAGTGCTTTGTCCAAAACAAGACATCCAACAGCTTCCAAGAATAATTACAGATACTCGCATTAATGCATTTCTTCACAAGACAGGCCACACTCATTGTTGCCCCTTCCCTTCTAATCTTCAAGTAGCTAAAAGAGAAAGTTAAGGATGGTGTTAGAATAAGGGTATGAAGATTTAATGGGCTAAAAATGGATTAAACATAACTTCAATAAAAGCATCTTCAAAGCAATACTTTGTGGTTCTTTAAATAACCATAAAAGCAATGTAAGTTTCGTTTTCTGCTTTATCTCCTTCCAGGATTCTTAGTTTAGGAGCTTTGGATTTTTAAATCTAAATTCTGTCTGTGAAATGCTAAATGATATCAGCATTCGACCGTGATTGTTTTGGGGGCAAGCCCAACTTGATAGGAACAGTCATTAGTTTAAAAGAGCATTTTCTGGTTGGTTGTGCCTGAAAGGCTACACAATATGTTTCCATATGACTGAATGGGCTTATCTGGATGTTGTAGGGTTGATCATTAACTGGGAAAATGGCAGGCTATTGTACAGCGAGATCAAGTCATACCACTCTTCTTGTTTTTGCTCTGGGACTGGGTGTTCTCCTTTTCAGAACTGGAATTGTTCAAGGCTTTTGCAGTGTTTTGCATAATTATTGAATATCATCCACTATACAGTGTCAGCCAGCAAATTTTAAGTATCATATAAATGGTGAGACAACAAATACGGATTCAAATATCAAAGGGCAAACTGTGAATGCATGACAGTGGGGCTTTTTTATATATTTGTGGGATACATTTGTTTTCACACTTGTTTTTGTTTGAAACAAGGAGAAAAGTTACCTGAAGACGTTTCTTCTGGTTCTAAGTAGGTAGAATCTGTACAAAATTACATATGGAAATATACACGTTTGGCTCCCTGGGCAAAAATCTCTGTCTTTCACCGTTCACTGACTCACACTGAAGTGTACTAGTTCAGGGGTTTTAAAATCGGATAAAACATTTGCAATGATAGCTGTGATCGTCCCCTTTGATAGTTTAAGCACTGAAGCCAAGCATCCGGTTTGCAAGCAAACTCAGTCTTCTGCGATGGAGAGCTATGAGCACATCTGTTTAGGGAAGTTTTGAATGTTTGATGTTTTGTTGTGTTTTTAATATTCTGTTGGGAGCTGCCCAGAGTGGCTGGGGAAACCCAGCCAGATGGGTGGGGTATAAATTAATAATAATAGTCATCATCATCATCATCATCATCTGCCACTGGCCTTTTGCACACAGCTCCCATGGTCGATTGCCTCCTGTTCTATGAATCAATGCGCAGCCTGCTTCTTTGAGCACATACTCAGGAGATGTCAGATGCCGCTTAGCTGCTTTCTGTTACCAATGGGGGGGGGATCTCTGTTCAGGAGGAGAATAATCTGATTTTCCATTTTGCTAACCTAAGAGCCATGGTTGGAATGTTGGGCTAGGACCTGAGTTCAAATCCTCACTCGGCCATGAAGCTGAGTGAGGGACCTTGGGCCAGTCCCTCACTCTCAGCCTGATCTAATAATATGGAGACAGGGAGAGCCAGTAACTAAATAAATAAAATAAGGGTTCTGTGCTTTCCCCCTCCTCCATACTGACTCCTTCATCCTACCTTTGCTGTTCTTAGGAAACTGTTGCCTTCCTGCCACAGTTATCTGTCTCTCCCCAACGCAGTAGCCTTTCTGCATTCTGCCAGCCTGCTCTTTCTTTTCCCAGCACTCACTTAACATAAGCCCCCACTGTATCCTCTCCAGCCCCTCTGTTTGGTCTCTATCTATAGCTCCTCCTTGGGCTCCACTTATTCCTATTTTAAGCTTGAGCAGCTGATATGACAGGCAGAAGCCAGTGTTTACTTCCCCATCAGGTCCCAGGGGGATCTGCACACAGGCCCCTCACAGCTTCTGCAGCAGCCACCCACAGAGGACTCTGGTTCTAGGGATGTCCAGTGACACTGGAGAAGGTATGGTCTGGGGGTTTTGGGGAGGGGGGGAGAGAGTTGTAGAGAGCGTGTTGAAGTAGGATTAATCTTCTAGTCATTGAGACATGACTCTAGCACCTCTTTGGAGGGCCAGGCTGCAAAACTCGACCAGGAGATCTGATTTTCTTGCCTTTCTGGCAACAGGAGACCTGGGTCTCAAGCCATGTCGCGATGTTCAAAGGACAGAGGACAGCTCGTCTGTCACTGCCGCTGGCACAGTGAGCAATGAGGGTGACAGCTGGAAATGAGAGAGAATTTTGGCTGCTCTCGACTTTATGTAGGGGTTGTGGGGGAATTGTTGTCAAAGGACCTGAGCTTATCCTGGCTGGTGGCTGTAGTTGGTGCAGGTCTGAGAAATTCAAAGCAGAGGTTTGAGAGCATATTGCTGTAGCTGAACAGGTTCAAAAGTATGAAACACATTGTCCATAAGAGCCTGATCCTGGCACAGGCAAGAGGGACGAGAATTATCTAGGTGCAAGCCTATTTGGTTGAGATTTAAGCCACAGCTCTCCCCATGCTTGCTAACTCTCAGACATGGCTGAAACAAAAATTTTAAAAATCCCTTCCAGTAGCACCTTAGAGACCAACTAAGTTTGTTACTGGTATGAGCTTTCGTGTGCATGCACACTTCTTCGGACATGGCTGAGTCACTCCTGCTGCCTTCGGTCCAAGTCATGGAAGCCTGTCATGTGCCGTCTAGTCAGAGTGACCGGCTCCTGACTCAGAGGCGGTGGCTGCTTATTGAAGAGCCCGGTGCAAGCCCCAACACTAAGCCTCCCTCATATCATTTACTCACCGCAGTCCCATTTGCTGCTTCAGGAAAGATTCCACTTTTACCCAACCATGTGGGCCTATTTACTACTATAACCTAGGGGTAGGAGTCACCCTTGTGGCGTGTTGCCTCTGTTGCTTCAGCAATAAAACCTGCTTCAGCTGTAGGACTCTGCCCACGCACAGAATATACAGACCACATAGGGTTTCAAAATAATACAATTGTGGTGTTTTACAAGAGGACCTGCCCTTGAGTTGCCAATAGAGGACAATAGGACCTGATTCACACAGACAATTCCTTCTCAATGCAATGCAAATTAAAGCAATTAAAAGTTGCTTCCTGCTCACTCAGCTACAGTGAAGACAGATGTCGCCCTAAAATAGTTCTTTGCGTGCCTATTCAAACACATTGTTGCATGATGATTGAAATGTTGAAAGCAAGACTGCCCTAAATTGTAGTTAGGAACAAAAGCTTTGTTCTGCTTCTTGGTATTCCTTGCATTCCACACTGTGGAAATGATACATGGGTAATATGGAACTAGCAACTGAAGGGAACATTGGAGAAAGGCCAAAGTTACATTTTAAGATCCTATTTAACTCGATTGCTGCAGGAAATATGATGGGCCCTCAAAATGTAGCTGGATAGTTAATGGACTCCATCCAGCTCTAGCTGAGCTTGATTGTATGAGAACATCACTCTCAGATGTGAATGTGTCTCCTTGTCGGAATCAGAAACATCCTCTAAGTTCAATGAGAACCAGATGAACATTTGAACATCAGTCAAATAAACTTGTTACAAACTACTTTTAAAAGCAAAGGAATTGGTGTTCAAAGAGAAAAATACTTCCGGAGGCTGAGATGTAAGTTAACTGCATAAAAAGGGCAGTTTGCAACATCCCACCAGAATCTTTCTGCACAGTCCAGCAAATATGGCAGCAAGTGGGCCCAGTTTTAACTCAAACAGTACTGCCTGGACTGTTACCGTTTCAGGAAGGGGTAGCTCACATGGCAGAAGACACATCTGTGGTGGGCCTTCCTCCACACAGAAAGCTAGTTATGTCAGTGAAAAGGAGCCCTTCTCCCTCACATCTGGTTTTACCTTTTTCATGGAGTCTTTCTGTATGGAAGCGAACAAGCACATATATGATGCATACATGCACACACACACACACACACACACACACACACACAGGATGTGCATCATGTCACAAATGCTTTCGCTGAGATTCCTGCATTGCAAGGGGTTGGACTAGATGATCCTCAGGGTACCTTCCATCTCTACGGTTCTATGATTCTATGCCCCTTGCATTCAGAAGTGGTACAGCCCAGACATAGGCACTAGTTTTTTACTGCTGAGGTAAATCCAAGTCCCATTAGCTTTGCACAGTGGCAGTATCGTAGCCAATAAGGTTAATCCAAGGCACGATTATTACTAATTGCCAACTTTTCCCAATACCCTGCCATGACAACTTGGAAAATATATATCACAATCCAAGTCACATTGAAGTATAATCCACAGCTAAATGCTTTATATTCTTTGATTCTGACACAACCAAACACTATTCAGAAAATCTCCACATATAGGGATGAAGTGTCCCTCTTGCCATCACATGCCCAACTCTGACTACTGGTCCTGCTAACTAGGAATGATGGGAGATGTAGTCCAAAATTATATTTTGAATTTTCAAAATACCCGTTTTTAACTTGTCTTTTATTGACAACCTTAGAATTTTATTTTTTGTAAACCACTTAGACTAGAGGCTCTGTTTACAGCCAAGTAGTGCATAAATGCTATTAAATAAATAAATGTTCAACTGTGTGTGACTAGGCATCCCTCTGCAGATGTCTGCTTTCAACTCATGGACATAGGGATCTGGGCTGGTGGGATGTTAGATATTACAGGCAAGATCAGGCAGTGTAGCCTGGCTCCTTCTGCCATGCAATTATGTCTATGTGTAATAGGCTTCCAACTTTCATACGAATGCCTCCCATTTCAATCCTCAGTTCAGTTCTTATAGTCATTCACCCTGATTATAATAACCACTCCATTTTACAACCGTATTCATTTGATCAATCAACATGGTTGTTTGCTCCCTAACACAATCTAAGGGCCGTGTTATAGCAATTAACATCATGTAGCAATTTGGCCCACACACAATGTTTTTATTGAAAGGACCATTCTTCTCCACTCAACCAAAGCATTTTTATGGTAGCCTTTTACAATTCTACAATTAACCTCTTTTATTTTGATTAATTAACATGGCATTTTCTTTGTCTAGGCACTTGCGTAGTGTACAGCCCACCTATTTCACCTATAAAACGTGCTTAAAAATGGCAACAAAAAAAAACCACCCGCAAAACTAATTTCAGACATGTAATCTCAGCACAACTAATTTTGGGTAAACATGTGGAAGTGTAAGAACTTTTCCAGTGCTGCTACTGTGCCTTTAACAGATGGTCAGCAAAGAGAAATTCCACAACTGTGGCCTTTTTATTTCGGCAGAGAATCAGAGAGAACGTCACATGTTGAATTTCTGTCTTATCCTGTAATTAAAGGTATTTTCCCTCTCTGAGAAAAGGTGACACTGCTGTGCTAAGTGTAATTAGGCCGTCATGTCCTTTGTGTCCTTGAAAGATACGATCCCAAAGTGCCTGTAAATTTGAGCCATGATTTAGCTGGCAACACTTCTGTAATCAGGAAAGCATTCCTGCTAAGGATAAGGTTGCCAACTTAGTCCTCTTCCCACCCTGGCAGAGTGTTGTTCTTTCAGCTACTATTTAACAGGCAGTTGTTCCCCAGGCAAAGTTGTCTATCTCTCCAGTTGGTAGAGCATGAGACTCTTAATCTCATGGTTGTGGATTCAAGCCCCACGTTGGGCAAAAGATTTCTGTGTTGCAATGGGCTGGACGAAAGATTATCTTCATAGTCCCTTCTAATTCTACAATTCTCTGATAGGCTTCACCTGTTGAATGTTTACCTGTGTCACCATTAAAGAGTTTGGGAAAGCACAAAGAAACACAAGCAAATGAATAAAAATTCAGTAACTTGGAAGATCTATATGCGAATCTATATGCCTTTCGAAAAGGCAAGGAATGACAGCCAGGTAGCAGTAGCATCAACATATACAGCTCAGGCTTGCAGTTTCTGCAGCTTGACAAATGAGCCTCTGGGTCATATGGTATGTGTACAATCAGGCCATGGGAAGAGGCCAGTGGTTATATTAAGGTACAGGGGCTTATTACATAGGACAGCAGAGACTGTCCAGGATTCCATCCCTGCTAAAGAGGCACTGGAAATCCTGTCTCTGGATGTGCTGCTAAGAAGTTTAAATGGGGAAGGGCAGAAACACAGCAAGGGTAAGTGGTGCATATTCTCTTAAGTGGCAGAATCTGAAGTATTAAAGTCGGGGGGGGGGGCTTCAGCTGCCTCAGCCAATTGGTAATGGAAGATGGTCTTAGGTTCACAAGAACCCGAGTGGGTGGGGGATGTAAATCTTTGCTAGTTACTGTCTCTGAGGGCCTCATCTCACACAAAATGGGTAAAGGCAGAGCCGTCGCATCAAACATACCAGCAAGTGTAACAACAGAAGGCACACGGGAGCTCTAGAAAAATGACTAGAGCAGCTCTAGAAAAATGACAATTGTTAAGAGAACAGATTACGGGCAGGGGCTTCTTTGGTATCTACCAAAAGACTTGGTGGGATGGTGGAGAGAGTGAATGGAGACTGAGGGAAGGGAGGCTCTTATCCTCCTGCACTAGCAGAGCGTCAGGTCTTTTCTAGGAAAGCCTTCTTCCTTACTGAAGAAAACAGCAGTGACGCACTTCCACCTCTCATACGCCAAACCACTCTTTCCTGTGCAGACACCATGGCGAAGGATGCTGCTTCCTCCGATAGGGAACTCATTGAAAATGGCATGGCAGAAATAAACTTGCACGCGGTAGAGTCCATCAGTGACCTGCATTATGCATCCGGCGGACGTGAAAGCACCAGGGTCTCAGAAGGTATGTAGTACCCAGCACCCTGAGTTGAACTCAAGCAACCTCATGCGTGCCCAGAGTAACTAAACAGCAGTTCAGCAGTAGGAAGAAGACCCCAGACCAGTAATGAGCTTTCCCCATGAAAACAGGACACTGTGAGCTGAGCTGGTGCTGGGCTATTACACGGGCTAATATTTCCTCATGGGCAACCAGCAGGCAGTGAGCAGGGTGAGAGTGGCAGAGGCAGAAGTGGGCAGAGCAGTGGATGCGACTCTAACCTGTGTAAAGCAGGCTATATTCCAGTCTTGCAGAAGTCAGAGGTTTCGACACCTCCTCTCACACACACCTCTCAGTCCTTTGATCCAGGTAAGCAAGGCATTGCCAACAGTTCAAGTACACAAGATAAAAGAACTTGAGGGACCAATGAAGGCTGTGGCCTGAGGAAAGCCCCATGTCAGCCATAAGCCTAAGGGGGCAGTTTGAGGCCCTAGACCTGAGCGCCCCCCCAGCCTAATATAAATCAACAGTGGCTGCTTCCCCACTCCTGCTCATTCCCCCCTCTCTCTCCCCTTCTTTTCCAGGGGGCAGCCCATCTCAGCCCAACAGCCCATGGACTCCTCACAGCACGTCCTCCAAACATTTCACTTTCCCAAACGAAGAGGACACGTCCTTTCTACCCGTCCAGAATCTCCATCTCCTCCCTGCGTTCACCTGCTGCCCTTGCTTCGGTCCGACATGTTGCCCTGCAAGCTTCTTTGCTCTCCTCGGGGTGCTCGTAGTGGCCAGCCTTGGTCTGGCCACACTGGCCGTGTATCTGAGTGGTAGGTTCAGGGTCTGGTGGGCCATTCTTGACAATAAGGAGCTCCTGGTGGGAACTAGTACCTACCACCATGGGGGCCAGGGAAGAGGGTGGCTCTGTGGGACCCAAGTACTTTCATCTGGCCAGTCCCAGGTAACAGACCGTATGCAAGATGAAATGTGGGTGGTAGGAAACTGAGGACCTATCATGCCCCATAGTGGTTCTTCTGGGCAATGCAGGAGAAAGTACCATAAAACAGGTAAGTTATTTGGGCACCCACTGAAAAACATAGGCTTAAAACAGTAGCTCAAACGGCACCCCATTCTGTGGAATCCACAGCCCTTTCTGTCAAATTTCCAAATGCATATATACACCATAGATCCTGAGCCATTACTTTGTGGGGTACAGAATCCAGCCTATTCCCCTTGAGCACTTGAATTCTCACCCATCCACTTCTAAGGATGCAACTATTGTAAACTTATTGTCCTCACATCCAGCTTTCCAGGAATCTATATCTCAGCTTACATTTTGCGAAGGGCTGCCACAGATGTGACCTAAGGACATGCTAAAAAGCAGTATCCCCAGACTGAAACGGATTATGCCAAAGTCCAATGTGAAGTACTCTTGACCAATGTAATAGGAAGTTTTTCCAAACCACCCCTTAGTTAGCAGAGGACTGCTGCCCCTCAGCTAGTGGGCCTTAGAATTTGCAGGGGGTTGGAGAGGACTCTTGGGGTCCCTTGATGGCAGCTCAAAAGACCATGTAGTCCAGCCCTCGGCTTACGCAGGAAAACCACTACAGCATGGCTGTTCAGCCATTGCTTTGATGAAGGAGTCTGTCACCAGAATTATTTATTATTTTATTATTAAATTTATATACCGCCCTTCATCTGAGGATATTAGGGCCGTTTACAGATCGCCTGAACGGGAAGTATGGTATTGAGTTATTGAGGTCCAAGAATAATATAAACCAAGGTATGTAATCTCCAGCATTAGGATTGTCCTCTGTGGCCTCTGGATTTGGGGGAATCCTCTCTATGTAATGGGGTCCCTCAAACTCCACCAGAGAACGAGTTTGCTCCCTTACCGTTCTGGTGACGGCTCCCATAGTGCTGCTTCATCAACATTCTGTCTGTAAAATATTTCAGACAATTTATATTGGCAGAAGAGCTCCTCAGTTCGCTCTTAGCAAGGCAACGTACAAGTCTGATGTGCCTGGTGGTAAACTGCTCTTGAAAATGAGTGTCAAAATGGTGAAAGTTACAGTGCCGGCGATACATTTCTTCAAAAAATAAAACAAGAGAGGCTGTTTAGTCACGTGGTTTCTGCTTCTCCTCTCTGCAGTCTTGCAGCGTGAGTCACTGCGTGTCCTTGCCCAGTGGCTGGAGTCCCAGGAGGAGGCCATCCGAGAAATGAGAGCTGTGAGCCTACAGCTATGGAGGCAGCTAAATGCCAGCGATTCAGGATTTCAAACCTGAGAGAGTCCTACCTTTCAACCCCCCGCAAACTTTTTCTTTGGGGAGCCGGATGGGAAAATTGACTCACTGCTTGGCACGTTGAGGACGGACATGTGTTGGTCTAGACTATGCAAGCCTTTAAGCAACCTCCCCCAACTCACTGGTGGGGTGCTGCCAAGGTTGATGTGCCCTATGGGCAGCACTGGCTGCAGGACTGGAATCTGCCTGAAGAGAGGGACAGACAGGAAGATACTGATGCAGAGGGCCTTTCCTCAGCACCTCAGATACACTTTTGCTTTTATTTGAGAACTATTTTCAGCACCGTATTTGCACTATGCTGCTCTACTTTATACCCACCTGTTAATCGTCGCCCATGGGGCACCTTTGCAGAGATGTTTTAATAAATGACGATGAAACTCACAGGCTTCCTTTGCCAAGCTGTGCTTCTCTCTTCAGCTGATCAGCACTAAAATCTGCCCAGGCTCTATCTGGTGAAGAGGGACCGTTGGCCTACAAACTAGGCCTGGAGCAGAGCAGAAGGAACCCTTGTGTTCTCTCAGGCTGCTAAAATGGAAGCAGCTCGAACTACCTGTGTCAGACCTCTCTGCAGCCACAATACCTTGCTTTTGTTGAACAATTACATGTAAATGTGACATATGAGCCTGTCCTTTCCTTAATTAGCGCCTAATTCCTGCCCCCCCCCACTCGACAGTGCACAGGATTCCTGATACTCGTTTTTCAAGACCGTTTCTGAAGGAAAAAATCGGGTGTATGGTCCCAGTCTGTTCTTCAAGGAAGCTAGATTTTATTTTAAAACACTCTGATTCTAACTACAGTCATAGCAATGCAGACATGTAGACTCCCTGCTTTGATGCACCAGCCCCAAAGTTCACTACTGAACCCGGAGTAAAAAGAATGGCAGGAAGCCAGCAGCAGAATTCCTGGTGGCCCAAACACAAGAGTTAGGACAACCCTTCAGTTTGGCACTAGGCAAGGGCAAATCCTCTTGAGCAATTGCTTTCTGGGAACAACTACTCAATATGTCTTGCGATATGGGGTACATATCACATGGTAAGTACTGTAAGTCGCTTGGAGACCTTCAGATCACAAGCGACTAACAAACCTAATAAATAATAATAATGCACGCATTCATTGTACAGATCTGCACAACTCAGCTGGAGTCGGAGTATGTATGGGAAGGAAAGGCACGGCACAACTCCTGAGCTGCAGGACGCACAACAGGACACCCCTGATTAATTCTGCAAATATCTATGAAGCTTGCAACTCTTGAACCCCCAGACATAAGTTCTATGCCCATACACCACTGCTGATGAGGTCATGTCGATAGGAATATGGCTTTTTAACTACCACTTTATGTTTAATATTTTCTCTCGATTTAAAGCCAAATAGGCCAACGTGGGCATTTTCTGCTGACAACACTATGAAAGTGAGGCAATGCGTTTCAGAGATCAATAGAGCAAGGTACCAGGAGAAAAAGCGTACTTTCCATTAACTTTGCTCTGTGACGATGATGTGCTATGTCTCCAGTCTGGACAGCAAAGGTTTGAAGCTTTATACACACCCACACACACACCCTTATCCTATTTGTGATGACAAAATCCCCAAAAATACATTACAGAGAAGCCAAATGAGGGAAGCAAAACGGTGAGCGGCAGTTCTTCATACTGCCAGATTCCTCCATTTGCTGATTTCCTGGTACTCAAGTGCAAGGCTAGGATTCTGTGCAAGTGAGCACTGCAGAAACACAGACTAACTTTAGGCACAGAATTCAACCTCCTAAGAATACGTAGTTGTATGTGAATGAATGAGAGAGCACAAGGATAGTATATATTTATACAGGATCTGATCCAAACTAAGTTAGTTTCACCTAAGCCGCGCTGAAATCAATGGAAGCATAATACAACTAGCTGGTCCAGATCACTCCTATTATATATTAATCTGGATATCAGTCTTTACAGCTGCACAAAAGAGGAAGCACGTAGACCATGCCTTGAACAAAATGATGAGGGATAGCAAGAATTGCAGCTGTCAAAGTAACGGGGCCCCTGTATAGCTCACCACCACATAGCAGACTTAAAATAAATTATGCAATATATGCTCACAGAATTCAGCTTTCTGAAGGCAGGAGGGCCCACTGAGCAGGGCAAAGCACCACACACCAACTTTACACCAGCCAAATAAGCCACAGGACCCTTCTCCTACAACAGGGGAACATGCCCCACTATGAGGAGGAGCTTTGCCAGGGCGGCCAGAGGACGGGCCCTTTCTTTGCCCTGAGGCTTTTGCTGGCTTTTCATTCTGCCATCAAAGAAGAAAAGAGAAGCAGCAGCCATGCACGTGCGGAGCAAAACTGAGCATTATAATCACGTGAGAGAACAGAGTTAAAGACAGTGATGGGCAGGGTGTCAGAGAGAGGCTGCGAAAAATAGCAGCTGCATGAGCAGAGAAGAGGTACAGCCCCTTTCATGGTGCTGTCAGCCCAGCCTTTAATAAACAACCACACTGCTTTCTAGTGTACATTTCATTCAACCCAAAGGCAAAGTATCTTCAACACCGGAGGGGAAGAACCCAAGGCACCAAACCTCAAGCCAGTACTTTCGCCACCTCCATCCTGGACAACTGCAGTCTTTAGCCTTACAACTAAGCCAGCCTCCTGCACTGGGTACCTCACTGGACGTTCTCACTGCGGAAGGGGGTGGGAAGATCTAGTCCTTGATTTCACTGCGCATACTGCAAGGGCAACTGCAGGATGTGTTCAGCATCAGAGACAGGGGGAAAGATGGGGCTTTTTTAAAAAAAAGAATCACTGGCTTAAAAAAGCAGTGGGGAGGGAAAAATAAGCCTCCCCACTACCCAACCTCGCTTAGATTTTTTTTTTGGTTAAAAAAATAAAAATGGCACCTGCCCATTGCTATCCCACCACGATTCAAACAATCGAGACATTTAAATATTATTCTGTACATATATAAAAGCCCCCAGACAATGGTGGGGGAGCAGAGGGGGGCATGGCACAAGCCCAGCTTTCGTAAAGAGCGAAGGCAACAGGGCTCCTTTGCCACAGGCTCTCCCTCCACCCACAAGGTTCACAGTGTTCCAGGTCTGTAGCGCATTGGCTTGTATGGAAGGCGGCAGCAGCAGCAGCAAGAGGAGGGGGAGGAAACAAGCCTCCCTCAGAGGACGTCGGCTCGCTTATCTCGAACACGGCTCCTTGCTTTCGTCCGGGCCTTGAAAGCAGCCGAGTTGTAGAGGTGCTGGTGGGGATGCAGAAAGAGAAAAGAAAGAGAGACAGAGGGGGAAATTAGCTGAGGGAACATCAGAAAAACTCTGCCAAATCAGACCAAAAGAGACATGTAAGTACAACATTGCGTCTGCAGAAGTTGCTAGCCATGCCTCAGGGACATTCACAGGCATGGCAAGAACCCCCTCTCCTTTCCCCCCAGCACCTGGTTTTATTATATTACATTCACACACACCCCTCACCCCCTGCCTAAAACACACACATTTACTGGTTTCTACATGTCACCTCCACACCATCTGAAGACTTGCACTTCAGCCATAATCTGGCTATGCCACTGCACATTTCTCTAGAGGGCCAGAGTGGTCACATAACCTAAAGGTTGTTACTAGGAAATGGGTTATCTATGGCAAGCTGCCATTGGTGGGGAAAGATGCACACAGGTTTGCTGATGTTGCAGAGAAGAAAATAACACCGAAACTTAACAAAGCAAAGCAAGGGAGCTAACAGTAGCAGAAATACTAGGAGCACCGCTGACGTACCTTCTCAAAACGTGATATCTTGCTGGCTTTAATAGCCGCAGCATCCAGCACTAGCGGGGGGCCCAGCTCAAATATCTCACGCAGGAGCTCGTTGTTCTGTGGGCAAGATGACAATACCCATTAGGTGGAAAATCTTGGAGCTGAGAGAGCAGGAGCCCAGGTAGACCAGCACAAAGGCAAGGAATAAACCTTAGGAGCCCCACGTGGACTCTTCTGCCCTTACCTGAAGGTGGTGCCTGACCCCAGAGCCAAGAGCCTCTTTGAAGGCATTGTATGTTCTCCTTCTTGCCCAGCTGTCCACATACATACACTCCAGTCCAAACTTGATAGTCTCCTCATGGCACTCCCCATTCTGGAGCAGGGAAGAAAAGGCAGCTGGAGACTCCGTAGAGAAAGAGGGAGCGGAAGTTCATCCCACCCCACATCTCATGAGCAAAGCTCAGCACCATGTTGTCTCTCTTAATGCTTAAGAGTGGCAGCTTCGTGGACACTACCCCACAGCAGAAGAAAGCCACTCACAGGCATTTCATGCAAGCACCAGCCCTACCCCAGTGCCTACCACAGAGGGCTTCAGGGATAGTATGCCCTGGAAAGCAGGACAGCAGAGCTGCCCTAAGTGCTCACAGAGAAAACCCTCTACTGACAGGCTCCCTTCCTCCCTTTCCAGGAACATGAGGGTAAGCCCAGAGCTTTCATCTGAGACAGATTTTGAACACCAGGTCATAAGCTTGGAACACATGGAACATTATGGGGGCAAAAAAAGACGAGAATGGCTCTTAAACATGCACGGAGTGCATTTTTCCTCAGAATAGTCGCAGCCTGTGCATCACAGAGCTGGAGTTAAAGGAGCGCAATTCTATAAAGGCCCTTGTTCTTCTGGGAAATCTAAGGGTTGAAGCAATGTGGAGGGAGGAGCCCTCTTCTAAACTAGGCAAGGGCGGCATGAGCCAGGCAAGGCACCTCAATGAAATGCAGCACATCGCGGAAGATGGAGCGCTGCTTGCGCCGGTCGGTCTTGGCTCTGTACTTGTTGCTGTCTGTGGCCAGGGCTTTCAGTTTTGTGCAGAGCAGGTCAGTGTCTTCATAAAAGAAATCCTCCTATGGCAAAAAAAGGAGATGAACAGTGTCAGGCAGAAGCTTCAACTTGCAGGCAGCGAGAGGTGCAGAAGGATAGAGAGGCCACAGCTCTTTCCCTAGTTTTACTTTTTGTATCTGTATCTCACAACTCCTCCAGGAAACTCTCTGCGGCCTGAAATGGGGCTCCCGGCACCTGCTGTCCAGGCATGTACTTTTATCAGTCTTTTATCAGTCCACATCCACTTAAGGAATGGGATCCTATGCCTCAGATGTAGGGATCTGAGGAATTCAATTCCTGTGAATTCCACTGCAAGCCAACCTGACTCCCTGGACTAATGTGTAGTTTGGAAATTAGTTTACCGTTAGGATTTCACACTTATGAATTTTGCAATTCAATGCTCAGTTCAAAAAAAAGCAACAATGTACTGACATACATTTAGAAAATGTATATTTTAGGATAAAAGGAGTGTTTTGCAATAAAAAGATGGCTGCAGAAACCATACGAAACAACTCATGAATATGTGCAAAATGGACAAAAAAATAGA